TAGTGTAGCAGGGAGGCCGTGCCAAAGACAACTTAAAGCTGTTGTGGTTGCGTCGAGACAGCGGTCGTGTCCATTGTAGACATTACTATCCGTCACAGTGTTGCCAAGTCCGCGGTTTTCCTGTGGAATTGGGCTACTTTATCACTGTTGCTGCGGGTTGTTTTTCATGTCCGCGGGTTGAAGCGACCCTAATAACTAATTTTTACTGGGGGATCCCCTCGAAACGTGGATAGTTTGTGCTAGTTTTGGTAGCAATTGGGTGGGTTTTGTTATGAAAACCTGGCAACCCTTTCCCTCAAGCAGGTAACGTTATTATTGCTAGCATAGCGGACTCATCGAAAAATACATTGGCATCATCTGTATTAAAGAGAAAATAATCACTTTTCACATAATCATCCGATGTTTATGTGAATAAAATAGCCTTGACAGCCTTACTTACTGGAGTTCCACAACTATTGGCGTTGTTCTCCCCCCCCGGATTTCCACCTATGCCATTATTGCTTTCTCCAGTGAAAAGGTCATCTTCCTGAATAAGTAGAGTAAATGCACAGTTCAAGCACTGTTTATGAGCAAAAACAGTTCTAAACAAATATGTCAGTTGATTTTGATATAAGAGGGGACAACAGGGGATGGATGTTTTCACTGAAGGAAGAGTTATGATTATGGACAGGTATTTTGTACACAAGCAATGAAAAAAGTTAAAAAGCTTTAATAATGGATTTGTTTCTTATGAACATGCAGCTTTTCACTTGACAAGATGTTAATTAATGAACTAGAATCATATGGCTTACTTGTGGATTATTGTCATGTTTTTATCAGCTGTTTGAACTCTCATTCTGACAGTACCCATTCACTCCAGAGGATACATTGGTGAATAAATGATGTAATGCTAAATTTATCCAAATACAAGACACATTTTTTTATAGGTTTGGGAGAGCTTTGGAGAGTTTTTGAGTCAGTTGCTCCATGTGCCTTATGTATTACACATCTTGTTTGTGTTTCAATCCATCGCTTATTCTTGTTGAATGCGTCTTGGAAGACATTTACACTTGGTCTTTTCATCAACGGATAGCTACCAGAACAGCAAAAATGCACAAAGTGTAAACAAACACCCCCAATGTTCTCTGTTATTATGACTCTGTCTCATAGATTAGAACTCTAGGCTTGGAATCTTCAGCATGTTAAACAGAGTATACTAGGCAGACTTATTTATTCATTTAGATTAATTAGTTACAGTACAGAACGTAATTGTCAGAAAGTGTTTATTGATATATATATATTGGAGGGCTGCAGATCAATGTGAAAACTTTTAATTTTCGACATGCCTGAGCGATTTTTCTCCAGAGCCTGTATCACCACCATTAGCCACATCTGAATGCCCTGCTTCCAGTTCATTAAATATGCTGAAACGGTTTCAACACTGGGCCAAATCTGTGTCTTTCTTGATCCAAATGGAGCTGATGAGCTTTGATTGAAACTTGGATAATTCCAGCGAGACACGCATTTATTTTTGGCGTGTAAAATCATTACTTTTTATGAGGCCCTTTCCACAATTGCATACTCTCGATGTTAATATAACTTTCAAACAGAATTGCTTCTTTATGTGCTCAGATGCTTGTAGTCCATTAATTTAGTTTTATTGCCACTAAATTAGTTTCACTTACCCCCTCAGGCAGCAAAATGTAATGTGCATAAATATAATTTATGCTCCTAAACATCTGCACTACAAATATGCGGCTCACACAAATGTCAATTACCTGCCATGTGCAGTCAGCGTGCTCATATAAAATGGATGCACTTTAGACAATTTCAAGTTAAGGGGGAGTTATTCTCGTTAGAAATGACCCCACACTGCTAGGGCACCTTGTGCTAGATAAGATAAAGTTACACAGGAAACGATTTTCTTGGAGATTTTATTTTTTGTGTTACAGTGTCACCTTCACCTAAAAAAAAAAAAAAAAAACCTTCCTACGCTATTGCACTTTCATATTATCTTTTAGTGCAACCATTACATTTATATGGGAGAACGTATTCCTTTCGGATAGGCTGGGGTTCAGTAAGGAGATGGTGTCACTTTGGGAGTTTTTCTTGATTGTGCTTGTGTGATGAACTATGAAGAACACAGAATGAGGTTGCAAAAATTGCTCTTCTGGGGAACATTGAGTTTTCAATAGAAGGAGTAAAAACAAACAGTATAGACAGTTCACGGATCATAGATGTTCTAGAGAAGTTGTATTTGGGGGTTTCTTTTAAAATAAATATGCATTTTGGGTTTATTTGATGTAGTATAGGACTGTTGCAAAAACCTAACATCATGAGACCATATAAATTAACATAAATATTTTTACTGAATTCAGGATGAATGTGGTATTTTTTTTAAATGTGCTATTTCTGTGTATATACAGTAAATGCTAGATCCGAGGAGACCATATATATTATACATTTTAATAAAACCTATAAAATATTAAACCTTCGATTAGCTGAATTTAGTCTCCTTAATTGCAGCTGTAAGTGCTTGAATAGTAATTGTAGGTGGTGATTATTGTGCCATTGTGAGGGCAGCTTTTCTTAGTACGTAATTGTGAATTTAACACCAATTTGCTTTAGAAGTGATGTAGCAAGACTGACCCTTTGTTCTGACCCGTTTATAAATGTGCTCGTATAAACAGCTCTAATGAAAGTTGGAAATAGTAATAGTTGCAAATAACAATTACAGTTTGTTGGATAAAGTGCACACAAGGAAGAAAGATTTAAAGGGCTAGTTCACTCCAAAATAAAAATTCTGTCATTATTTATTCACCCTCATGTCATTTCAAACCAAAATGACTTTCCTTTGTTGAACACAAAAGGTAAATTCAAAAATGTCCTGGCTGAAAGTGAACGAAACTGGAGTTGTCAAGCTCCAAAATGACCATAAAAGTATCATAAAATTGGTCCATGACTCCAAGTTTTCCAACTGAGAAAAAGACCGAAATGTAAGTCGTTATTCACGGATAATCTTCCACCCCGGTGGGCTGTTAACCATTCTCATTCACCGTAATTGCACCAGAACATTATTCAAACTTTCTCCTTTTGTGCAACATGAACGAAAAAAGTAAAAAAGTAATACAGGTTTGCAATGACATTGCAACGGTGATTAAATAGTGACAGAATTGTCATCTGTGGGTGAGCTAATCCTTTAAGAATGGATTAAATTACAGAATCGGGAGTCGTTGCTTTTTATGAACATCATTCTAAGTGATCAAGAATGCCATTGATTAGATTCCCATTGAAATTAATTTAAGAAAGCCACAAGAACTGGTAATGCCAGCCTTAGGTAGTAAAACACACAAACCACACACCTTTTTAATATGAGTCTCAATTATTGTGGTACACTTGAGTATGGATTTATGAATCCTGAGCAAGCAAAATCCATCATTTTCCAGGAAGGCAGAAGACTGCAAGAGAAACCTCTAAGAAAATGATCTCTGCTGTCTCCCAGCTAACATGCATTTGTTTACTGTAAAATGCACAATTTCAGTATTTGGCTAGGCGATCATTCTCCTGTCATTGTAGAACTGGATATGCAGAAAACAAGTCTCTCCAGATGTGTCTGATGTGCAATATGTCCCAGTTGTTCATCACAAAGATTCAGTCATCTTATCTGTGAACTGCATTCCTGATAACTGCTTTCCGCAATGCTCATTAGCTTGGCCCCTTCTGTCGCCCCTTTAAATGGATGTTTTTGCTGGGCCCTTTCTTAAACATATCACAGCTAATCAATAACTCATTTAACTTTCGGTAATCTCTGAATGAAAAAAAGTTGTCTAACTTTTTTTTTCTTTTGCGGCAGTTTCACTATTTGTTCCTTAATGATGTGGCTTACTTCGTCTCAAGGTGATCTTATGAAAAAAAAGTTGAGGAACTAGTCATCAGGTGTTTATGCCAAAAAGCAGTCGAAACTGCTTCTACGAGGGCTTTGCTTTTAATGTGTTTTTTTCTCCAGACATGCAAGTTGTCAAAGCTTTTCTCATAGATGAATTGGCTCTCTCAAGGAATAATTTCTCAGAGAGAATTGCCTGCCAGCTTTTTTAAAAAACATATGGATAGGTGAGGAGATGTACTTCTATTTACTAAAAACCATCTATATATAGAGAGTCTGAAATATTTTGGAATATATTTTAATTATACATAAATACTTATTTATTTAATCTCTTAAGACTGTACATGTATGTATAATTTAAGACTCTAACAGATTCTAAATAAAACCTAAATATGTTATAAGTTATGTGCAATTCAAATAATTAGAGATATTTACAGACGGCACATAAAAATGACTTTTATTTAGAGTATTAACAAATTCATGTTCTATACATTGTATGGACATTACCTTTGTAACTTGTCACAAATAATAGATTTTATAAAAATAAATGTACATGAAACAGCATATATAATAAGTACCTTGCTTATGGTGTTGAGATTTTTGAACAGCTTTCCTCCTACATTCATATTCCAATGACTATCATAAAAATAGTTTTAAGCATCAACAAAACCATCTATTTTTGATTAGGATACTGATATTTTTGAGAGTTACAGTGTTGACAGACAGCATAGAAAAGGCGAAAAAACCTAAAATAAGTCGGAATTCTGCCCAGACACAGCAGGAACCCCTGATTACACTAACAAGGTTTGGCTCACCATGTGTTTACAGCCTCTGTTATGCTTGCAGAGAATAAAGAGGTGAAAATAAAAGTCACTTTAAAAATCAAGAGACTGTTCCCGGACGAGTCCTACCTACCGCACACATTGTTTATCAGGACAGGGGCTGATGCTAAATTCTGCAGAAACTGAAATGAGGTCATCACGCTATAAATTATTGTAAATCATCATTGCAGTTAAGAAAAGAAAAGGCAAAAGGTTTGGCCATTCTTCTGAAGTGGCCTATTACATCAATGCTTCAAACCAGAACTGTGGCATCACCATCAACACTGTATCCCAGCAGCTGTCCGATGTTTTTTTCCCCGAATGTATATCAGGCCGTTTAACTACAGTTACTGAAATAGCTACAAATATACTGCTACCTTGCAGTGCCTTTTTAGCTACATAGTTTGGTAGTTTCATACTCCATTGAGTTGGGCTGCTTGGCGCTGAAGGCCTGAAGAGCAGTCTGGATTCGGACCACATCAGTGGTAGAGAGTTTAAGACGGTGGCGTAATAAGCAGGCGAACAGATCCAGAGGTTGTTGGCCCGGTGGAGAGAGTCGGTTGACCCGGTCTCGGATCTCCAGCAACTGGAGCAAGGCCGAGTCCTGCGAGCCCTGTGTGTATGGGTAGTCCAGCTGCAGGATCAAGTCCTGAATGGCATCCGGATCAAAGTGCATACTATATCCGAACACCTGCATACTGTTGATTTTCATGTAGCCCAGGTTACGGGACGAGTCCATGTATTCCAATGGCTCGAAATGGACGCTGCCGTTCCCTTGAGTCGATGCCGTTTTGACACGGCTCCTCAGGTAAATGTGTACCGTCTCAAAAAAGGTCTTCCACTTGTTTCCCAGAGTCAGGGTCCAGTTATAACAGTCAAGCGGGATGTCTAACTTGGTCCTTTCCCAGTCAGGGTAATTGTTCTGGTCAATTGGCATGATCCAGCTCTCAGAATGACTACCTCCGAATGGATTGATGTAGACGGACAGCATGGGTTCCAGGGTGCTGTTTTTAGTAAGGCATATCTGCAGGGAGATCCCTAGGAGCATGTGAACGTGGCTAGATTTGAACTTGTTGCTCTTCAGCGTCAACAGCATCCTCTTCCTCCAGCTGGGATCGAACCAGTTGTTGAGTCTGACGTCATTGCTTATGAACATGGCGTGAATACTGATCCGCCCGTCCTTCTTTTGCAGCAGGTAGCGCAGCTCCATGTCCTGAAGGTCTGTCTCGAACCCGATGTAGTTGTCGGTAGAATCCGGGATGGTATTCCTACAGGTCCCTTGGCTCAGCATGTAGCCGGGATTGCAGCTGGCACAGCGAGAGCGGTTCTCGTAGGAGCAGGAGGCACAGTGAGGACCGTCGCCTACGGAGCACGGGATAACACCCTGGCAGGACGGGTGCTCGTAATGACAGGAGCAGGTCCGCGTTTCCTCCATGTAGGAGCCTATCTGATTGTTCTCACTGCAGTACATGATGGAGAGGATATACCTCAGCCAGTAGCTGAGAGGCCTATGGTGAAGGAATGAATGTGATAAGTCAGATTGTCTCCAAAGTTGTAAATGATACTCAATTTCATCATAGATAAAGTCTAAAGATTAAGTACTCTGAGTAGCAATATTAGAGATGTCACAAGAATTAATCGGGGTACTTGAAGCTCATGGGAACATGTTTTATTTTGCTCAGTCTCCAAGAGCCTTACAGCCTAATGAAATAGTTAGCTGAAATAGTTATAATATAATATAATTCATATAATATAATAATTAAATATTGCTTGCATAAAACATCCTAAAAATAATTATATTGTAATAATTATTTATTTTTAATGGTCATCAAAGAAGAAATATGTGACCCTGGACCCTGGAGTCTTAAGTAGCACGGGTATATTTGTAGCAATAGTCAAAAATACATTGTATGGGTCAAAAAATGATCTATTTTTCTTTTGTGCCAAACATCATTAGGATAATAATTAAAGATAATTTTGAAGAAATATATCAAAACGTCATTTTTGATTAGTAATATGCATAGCTAAGAACTTTTGGACAACTTTAAAGGCGATTTTCTCAATATTTTGATTTTTTTTGCACCCTCAGATTTCAAATAGTTGTATCTCGGCCAAATATCGTCCTATCCTAACAAAACATACATCAATGGAAAGCTTATTTATTCAACAACAACAAAATTGACCTTTATGACTGGTTTTGTGGTCCAGAGTCACATTTGTTCTTTGCACATCAAAAGTCAAAATTAAAAACACATCATCTACCAGATAGTAACTGTGTGCGTGTGTGTAAGTGGAAAGCAGCTGAACACTAAAGTAAAGTATATACTGTATAAAATGCCCTAAGCTTGAGACATGAAAGTACTTTATTCTTTGAAAAATACAGCTTGTTTTTTTTTTTCTCTCATAATAGATAGTTTTAGAAGAAAAATGGGAAAAATCAATACTTAAAAAAAAAAATAACACAAGACACTAAATTATTTCCAAATAATTTCATCCATTTTATGAGCATGAAAAAATGCCATCCTGCAAAAATTAACATAACATGCATATTCAGTCACTAATGATTCTCTCTGAAGCCACTGGCAAATGAACTCAGTGGAGTGGATCAGCACGATCTGTCACATGGAGTCAAATTGTAAACATCAGCTAAAATGTACTCCGATTTTCCATTTCACTTTGTTTTTCCAAGCACAATAACAGTAAAAACTCAACTCATACAGCATTTATAAAGTCTAAGTTAAAATAGTAAATGACGTGTATCATTGCACCATGTCTGTGAAATTAAGCCATACTGGATGCAATTTTTGACACATATTAATGTCACCAGTTAAAAATCCTAACTGAAAGATAAATCATAAGCTGAAGAGGATGATATTTGTGCGTATTTAAGGCCCAAAATATTCTTAATTCTCCTCTGAACTGGCTTATGGATGAACAACTCATTATTTTCAAAGCTTGACTTATGCAGCAACTCTTCTTTTCACAGTTGAAAAATCTATTTCAGCAATTGCAGAGTCCCTTTTGTTATGCTATCCTGCGAGATAGCCGAAGATTTTCATTGCCATGGAATTTCCACTTGCGCAGAGAAAAACAGTTTACTCTGGATTAAAACATAAATGATGGCAACAGAATGTATAAATATTCATGGCACCAGGCTGCCTGAGAGAGAGTCAGTATGCAGGTGGTTGGCAATGAACGAAATCTCAGCAGCCTGTCAGCATATTTCACTGACAGCGAAACGGAAATTCACACCAGAGACAAAACATTCGCATGCACATTTATTCCATGAGAAAACAATTTCTCAAAATTTCCATATTTTTAGACCGTAAAAACATCTGATGGAAGAACAACAATAGCTTAAATAAGCATTTTTGCTCTACTTTTCATGGAAATTACAGCCATGAAGGAATATGCATTAGTCAGGCAGTATAATCACTTAAAACCAGATTCACAAGGTAATTTATTTGATTATTTTAAAGCACCGATTCTGTTTAAAGGTATAGTGAAAGACAAAGTAATATGCAAACATAAAGTAAAACAAACCATCAGATATATAGGAATGCATTTTATGAACAAATTTATCAAGCTGTTGATAAATTGTGCCTGACAAAAGGAATGAAAAAAAAAGTAATTTAAAGGACGTGTGAAAATCAAATAAATCAAGTGTGAATGATGAACTGACAGAGAAAACAAAACAGTAAATCAGAAACTCAAAAGCAGTCTAATAAAATGTCTTCAAAACATACATCAATGGAAAGCTTATTTATTCAACAACAACAAAATTGACCTTTATGACTGGTTTTGTGGTCCAGAGTCACATTTGTTCTTTGCACATCAAAAGTCAAAATTAAAAACACATCATCTACCAGATAGTAACTGTGTGCGTGTGTGTAAGTGGAAAGCAGCTGAACACTAAAGTAAAGTATATACTGTATAAAATGCCCTAAGCTTGAGACATGAAAGTACTTTATTCTTTGAAAAATACAGCTTGTTTTTTTTTTTCTCTCATAATAGATAGTTTTAGAAGAAAAATGGGAAAAATCAATACTTAAAAAAAAAAATAACACAAGACACTAAATTATTTCCAAATAATTTCATCCATTTTATGAGCATGAAAAAATGCCATCCTGCAAAAATTAACATAACATGCATATTCAGTCACTAATGATTCTCTCTGAAGCCACTGGCAAATGAACTCAGTGGAGTGGATCAGCACGATCTGTCACATGGAGTCAAATTGTAAACATCAGCTAAAATGTACTCCGATTTTCCATTTCACTTTGTTTTTCCAAGCACAATAACAGTAAAAACTCAACTCATACAGCATTTATAAAGTCTAAGTTAAAATAGTAAATGACGTGTATCATTGCACCATGTCTGTGAAATTAAGCCATACTGGATGCAATTTTTGACACATATTAATGTCACCAGTTAAAAATCCTAACTGAAAGATAAATCATAAGCTGAAGAGGATGATATTTGTGCGTATTTAAGGCCCAAAATATTCTTAATTCTCCTCTGAACTGGCTTATGGATGAACAACTCATTATTTTCAAAGCTTGACTTATGCAGCAACTCTTCTTTTCACAGTTGAAAAATCTATTTCAGCAATTGCAGAGTCCCTTTTGTTATGCTATCCTGCGAGATAGCCGAAGATTTTCATTGCCATGGAATTTCCACTTGCGCAGAGAAAAACAGTTTACTCTGGATTAAAACATAAATGATGGCAACAGAATGTATAAATATTCATGGCACCAGGCTGCCTGAGAGAGAGTCAGTATGCAGGTGGTTGGCAATGAACGAAATCTCAGCAGCCTGTCAGCATATTTCACTGACAGCGAAACGGAAATTCACACCAGAGACAAAACATTCGCATGCACATTTATTCCATGAGAAAACAATTTCTCAAAATTTCCATATTTTTAGACCGTAAAAACATCTGATGGAAGAACAACAATAGCTTAAATAAGCATTTTTGCTCTACTTTTCATGGAAATTACAGCCATGAAGGAATATGCATTAGTCAGGCAGTATAATCACTTAAAACCAGATTCACAAGGTAATTTATTTGATTATTTTAAAGCACCGATTCTGTTTAAAGGTATAGTGAAAGACAAAGTAATATGCAAACATAAAGTAAAACAAACCATCAGATATATAGGAATGCATTTTATGAACAAATTTATCAAGCTGTTGATAAATTGTGCCTGACAAAAGGAATGAAAAAAAAAGTAATTTAAAGGACGTGTGAAAATCAAATAAATCAAGTGTGAATGATGAACTGACAGAGAAAACAAAACAGTAAATCAGAAACTCAAAAGCAGTCTAATAAAATGTCTTTTCTATTTGTCTGCTTTATTTTTCTCGCTGCAACTTGAATCATTTGTTATCAAAGAAGAAGGATGCTCTTGAAGATAGATCAAGGCAGATTGCAGAAACATTTCAAACGCATGCTGTTATTGTTGTCATGCCCTAGACTCCTCAGTCCCAAGATAGGAAACTTTGGAAAGTATGAGTATACTGTACATTTGGACTTGAGAGCTGATGTTATTCTCATATATGGAAATGTTTGTTTTCACCAGTGCTGCAAGATAAAGTCAAGTACATCACTTTTCCTTTGTTAATTTCACATTTTAACTAACAGGTTTATAAGATAAAAAGATATTAAAATAATAATTAATTATGCATGCTTAATACCCTAATTAATCATGTAATTATTTCCTGAAGCAACTTGCACATTGTTGTTGTTAGTGCAATGTGTGTTAACTCAATACAGACACTAAAATAAAGTCCAAATATCTAGTATACTGTTCACTCTAAATTGGTGTAATTAAAACAGCAATTTATTTTTTTCCCCACTGCAAAAATCTGCCATTTCATTTTTTTGTTTTCATAACAGTAACATTGTACATTGACAAAAGCAATATTTGAGGTAAAATATACAATCATTTAAGAAAGTGCCTTTTTAAAAGTTCCATTATTATTTTTATGCTGATTAAAAATCAATATAATTAGTAAATTGTATAACTGTTGCTGTATGCCAAGAAAATGTAACACAAATTTTCCAGAATATTATGCTAAAAAACTTACAATGATATTTCAGGGAAAATATGCCATCATTTAAAATGTTATTTTTTTATTTAATTGTATTATTTTATTTTTATGCTGACAAAAATTTTACCAATTAATATGATCTATAAAGTGTATAACTGTTGCCATACACCAAGAAAATATTACACAAAACTTATCATATACTTATGGAAGCTAGTTTCTTCCACTGAATTCAAAAAATAAATAAAAATAAAATAAATAAATTTCAACTTTTTCTATCACATTTCTGACTTTTTTCTCGCAATTGTGAGTTTACATCTCACTTTTTTTTTGTTGCATGGTTTAAACTCACAATTGCAAGGTATAATGTCAGAATTGCAAGATATAAACTCGCATTTGCGACTTACAAAATCAGATTTGTGTGATATAAACTTGCAGCTGTGATTTACAAAGTCAGAATTGAATATAAACTCAAAATTTTGAGAAATAAAGTCAGAATTGAGATACTGTATAAACTGGTGTAAAAAAACATTTTTTTTTTCAAATCTGCGATTTCCTTTTTTCATATCAGTAACACTGAACATTGACGAAAGCAATATATCATAATATTACTGCATGCAGTCATTAAAAAATAAAACGTTAAAAAAACTTAATGTATATTATATTATTTTTTGTATGCTGACCAAAAATGTTATCAATTAGTATGCTCTATCATTTATATAACTGTTACCATGCATCAAGAAAATATAACACACATTTTCCAGTATCCTAGATGTTTCTAGTGCAAAATTGCAAATCTAAAAATCTCATTGTCCCTTCCAAGGAATAAAGTATATATCAGAGGATTTCTATATGTTGCTGCATCTGCAGCATCTGTATTACATGTCGTCCCAGAGCACCCAGCCAGCTTAAGTGATAATATGGGGATATCTGAATAGTATGTCTTTGAGAAGTCAATATGAATATTAATGAACCAAGAACTTTCAACTGTGAAGCTGATCATTGCTTTAGGCTTCGCTTTCACCTCATCTGACTCAAGTAGTTTCCACTTGACTTGGCTGCCAGCGTGGTTTGCATAATTCTCATTTTTGCACAGCCCTGACCCTCTACCATCTTTGAACGCTCAGTTTCAGAACTCAGTCGTGAACTTTCTCCTTCCACAGCCCTTACCAAAGGCACTGCATTATCATGCCAGTGCAGAGCCCATAAATTACCTGTTTCCTGTGTCTTCCATTAAAACACAACCTGCACTTTAGCCTAAAGATGGGAAGATAAAACCTATTCATCCACTAACTCCTGAAATGATTAGATGGGACAGTCTCTATCATTTCAGAGAGGCTGGGACTTCAGCCAATGTACTAGACTTAACCCAATTATGCTTGCCACAATTGCCCTCAGATATGGACTGAGTAGTGTGTTAAAGGCATTTCTTAATTAATTAGTTTGGAGGACATGCATTTTAAATCTCCTATTAGTTCATCCATTTGGAAAAGGATCAAGAATAAAGATTCAGTGCAACAGCACAATATATGTATGTGACATCGTGACACATAAAGATGTTATAGGAGAACTCAGGGTTTAGCCTTTGGATTTTCTTAACATTTTGTGATTCTGTGAAAGAAAAAAAATTACAGTAAGGTCTGCTAACATTAGTTAATGCATCAGGCATCATGAACTAATAATAAACAATACTTTTACTGCCTTGGGTAATGTTAATTTTTTCATATATATTGATACATTTTAATATTTCAAGTTTTATAAGGGTCAAAATAGGGGTTTTCAAGCATCAAAATTTTAAAAGTTTAAATAAAGTTTAATACATATTTTAATTATAACGTATGCTTTTTATATTAGAAAGTGTCCTGTTTAATTAGATTTTTTTTTTCTGAGCAAAAAATAATGATTCATAAATTTTGACCCTGCTTTACAAAAGAAAAAAAATCTTCTTGGGCATATTTACAATAAGAATCATTAGATTACAACAAAATACTCTATTTAAAGACTGCAGCCACCAAAAACAAATTCATTGTCATTTTAAATCTTTACCAATCTTTGCCACTATTCTTCAAATCCAATAGTTTTTACCCATTTTTCAGGATTAAGTTTTTAATCATTTAAAATATAATACAATTTAGTAAGATCACTTTTTCTTTCATTTAATAATATATAAAGTAGAGGTCAGGATAAGTACATTGTTTCATTTCTACATAAATATTTTATGCTGAATGATGATGGAATAATATTTCACCCAAATTTTGATATTTTATTTTCACAAAAGTTATTTGGAACATTAAAGTAGACACTTTACTGGCATTTAAAATGTTTTCTATGTATTTAACATAACTTTTTTTTTTTTTTTTTTTGATGTAGACACCAAAATGGGATGTCTCATAAGCAAGCATTGGTTATATGAACAAACATTTATTAAATAATTGTATTAATATTATTTTTATTAATAATAATAAACTACCTTAATGTTTGTTTTTATTAATGCCACGCCAGCTTGGCTGTTTTCATGGTGAAAAAGAAACTTCAGTAATTACAATTTAAAATCAACAGAATAAAACAAATCTTAAACTAGAACTGTAGTTTTTTTTAAAAATGCTATAAAAACTATATTTAATTGTTTGTTCATGATACCTAATTACTGTTAACAAACGGAACCTTATTGTAAAATGTTACCAGAAAAGTCACTGAATCCTTTAGGAAGCAATGAGAAAGTATTTTTACATTTTAGTCCCTTTACAGGCCCATTTTTACTAAAAATTCTGAAACTAAATTTGGATAACCACTTTACAATCCTTTTACAGATCCATTTTTCTAAAACTAAAAATTTCCTAATTTCCTGAAACTAAATTTGTGTGAACTTGATTACAAATATTTTCAATGGCATCAACAGAATAAAACAATTCTTAAACCAGCTTAAATAATGCTGTAAAACCTGTTGTTAATTGTTTGTTTATGATACCTAATTAACTGATGTTAAAAAATTGAATCTTGCTGTAAAATGTTACCAAAAATAAAGTCTGTTCAACCCTGAATCCTTCAGGAAGCAATGACAAACTATTTTTCCTCTCTCATCACTTTACAATCAATTATAAATACGGACATTTCCATTTATAACCCATTAGGAACATAGCTCATCTCTTACCTCTCTCTGGGCACAGATATTTTGGGCTGAGTCCGACACCTTTTGCAGAGTTTGAAGAGTTTGCCGACAATCCGCTGTGCTTTGCTGAGCAGCTGTTGAGTGCTAGTCTCCAGCAGCTGAAAGCGTTGTTGAACGCCAGGGTCCATCTTCCAAAAGTACTGCACAGCAGATGTGTTCAGAGCATAGAACGTTGGTAATCTCCTCACAAAATTTTGGAAGTCCTCTAGAAAGGCAGACAAGTGTTGAGAATAAATTACTGGAATGACTTTGCCTCATGTCGGGGAAAAATAAATCAGTCATGTTTGATAAAAATGAGTCAACAGTGAAACTGGGGGTGGAAGGGGAGCAGGTGGAACGTTATTTTCATTCCTTTGATGAAAATTGAAAATTGTCCTGTGTGATTGAACACTGATAGGCGAGGACAGCAGGGTATTTTCAATGAATTGCTAAGAAACGCTAAGCCTTTTCTAAGAAGGACTGGCTGATTTTGAAGGAGCACATGCGGTTCGACTTCAACAACAACGAAAACATTAAGTTCTGACAGTATAGCAAGTCGTTAAAGCAAAGCAGAATCATCTCTGCCACACTCATGTCTTCCAGCGGAGGAAAGTTCATTTTCATTCGTGGCGAGAAAAATCGATAGCCGTGTTATGGTGCTCAACGCCCCAATCAATGCTACCTAACATCTAACAAGAAATGATCTCAGTGGCTATAATTAACAGCACAGATCCTCATCATAGCCTGACAATTCCAGTCTGTGCAGATGCAGAACTGGATTTTTCATGCAAACAAACATCAGGTAATTGAAAATATTACAAGTTCCATTTTTAGGTATCCATTGATCGGTACAAGTCGCCAAGTTTTGTCTTGATGAGGAATTTCATTAAAAGACAAACACTCTGTGATGCCCCGACCGAATAGAGAAGCGGACTGCTAGATGATCTCGCTCCAGTAGATGATTGTTGTTTATTTATTTGGTTTACAGTCATTAGGCAGTGGTTTTTCACTCCCTGCTGTTGCTGCAGGAGGTAAAGCTCCAACATGGCTGTGATGCACACAAAAACCTGCTCTGTGCTGGCTCAGTGCCTAGCTTAGGGACAAGTAAGCCTGCCAAGTCCAAAACGCTGCTTTACCACAATGACAATGACACTAGATTCCAGGAAGCATTTCCCACTATTTCCTTGTCAGCCATCAAATGTTACAAGGTGACAACAATCACTGTGTAATGTCACCCCACTATGTGTCAGATATATTCACAGATCTAAGCGGCACGATGGAATTAACTTGATGCTGGCATGCCTCGGGCCTTACGATTAATTTCCAAAAAAAAAAAAAAAGTCCTAACTATATAACCTCATGCAAGACAATTATGCTGTTTTTCACTCCTAAAAGATTCTCATTCGCCTATCCCCATATGATTGTATCCATAAAATGAACATTTTAATAGCTCTTTTCCATGCAATTATTATCCATGGGGACTAAGAGATTTAACTAAAAAAGGAATAAAAGAATCATAAAAGTGGTCCATATGACTCGGTTTAATTAAGTTATACAAAAACATACAAAAGACTGACATTTAAGTCATTATTCACTGGGTTAGTGAGAACTGCCAAGAACCATATCAGTCATGAATCAAAAAATCATTCAGACTGGCTTTTAAATCAATTCATTCTAAGTTCTGAGTCAAATGAATAATATGTTCATAAACTGCTACTTCTCCCATGAGCATGACAGAACATACATTTATGGCATGCTTGTGTCCTTCTAGAAGATTGGAAGATTTAGTCTCTCTACCATTTCCAATTACATGGGACAGAGAAGACAGTACATACAATTCTTAAAAAATTATCTTTTTGTGTTTTACAGAAGAAATGAAGTAAATTAAGACATTTTTTAAATTGATTTTAATTATTCACCATGTTCCTTCAAAAAGTTACTATCACATTTTAAAAACGTAATATTGCAGAATCTTACCAGACTCTTCAAACTCTTGGTTGGCTTGCATCCATGATTCTCTGATGAGTTTCAGACTATCCTGCATAGCCTTCAGGTCTTCACTAGGACAGTTGCACTGGGGATAATCAACACTGCATTTGCACCAGCAGTCATTATCCCGGCACACAAACTCGCCCTCGGAGTGGCAGCCAATATAGCTGAGAGCTGCCTCCACAAATCTGCTCCTTAGGTATTCTGGCAGAATGGCCTGAAGCCCTAGAAGAAGACAAAATTATATAAAAATACATAATATGCATTAAAAAATGAAACCAGTATACACTACCTTGGAAAAGTTTGGGATCAGATTTTTTTTTAAACATTAAATTGAACAAAAAAAGTACTAAAAAAAACACTAAAAAGTATCAGTTTTCTCAAAAATATGAAGCAGAACAACTGTTCTCAACACTGATAATAAGAAGAAATTTTAATGAGCACTAAATCAGCATATTAGAATGATTTCTGAATGATCACGTGACATTGAAGACTGTAATGGCTGCTGAAAATTCTGCTTTGCCATCACAATATAATAAAATACAAAACATTAATTATTTTATTGTAATTATATTTTCATAATATTACAGTTTTACTGTATTTTTGACCAAATTCAGCCTTGGTAAGCAAAAGAGACTTATTTCAAAAACATTTAAAAATCTTACCAACCTTAAAACTATTGAATTGTATAATAAAATACTGGTTTAACTTAAAATATTTTAGTATTATAAGTATCTATAAGTGTCTTTCAAAATATCTTTTCATAAGCTACATTTCCTTGAAACCTTTACAGCCTAAGTGTGCTTTTACAACAAAAGAATATTTCTGTGAACACGCTGCTGCCTCTTTCAATATCAGCATAGAAGAATGAAATTAAACAAGTGATAATATCATTGGAAAGTCTGGGATATAGTTAAATAATACATGCGCTACCTTGTAGATGAATCTTGTTTTCAGGACTCTGAACCAAAACGGAACTGACAGAATCGAGGTTGTCATAGTTACTGCATCCAAGAGGGCCTGTCCTTGTTTCGGTCACCTTAAGGGAAGACAAGAGAAAGCACATGACAATACTCTGTGCAAAACAGAGACAGAAATGACACTGAGGCCATTAAATATGCAGAGCAGGCAGATGACTGTCCTGTGAAATCAAAGTAACATAGATTTATCCAGGCTCAAAAAAGGCATATTGTTTTAGACACAACTACACAGAATTGCTGGTATAATATAAGAACCATATAATAACTATGTTGTAAAGGAGCTCAAACGTCTGTCCAGAACACTATAACGACTGCACCGTTACACCAAGGTCATTAATGTTATTGAGAAAGCTACGGTATTATTTGGACCAAATTCACTAATGTATTGAAGGGCAATATTTCACAGTGAACGTAATGCACTTTCAGTGTACGTAAATAGTGAAGGGTAATGGACCTGTGGCTGAATGCGACTTGAATTTTACAATCAATTTAGTACATATCAACATAGATATTTCAAGTCCAACATAGCTGCCGTTGTGGAACTATGTATTATATTGAAAGGCACAGTATATACTGAAAAGAAATGCAACTGTTAGAAGAAATGGTTTTAAGTCAAATGAATTCATGTTCCAGAGCAGACAAACAGGTATAAGTACGAGTAGAATATCCATATCACTGACACCTCACTGACAAAACTATCGACACGGTATCTTTGTTCCCATCCAAGATTTGTGTTAAAATGGTGCTCAATCGCAGCTCAATCATTCCTGACAAAAGCTTCAGTTTTTTTCCGACAAAAGTCACTGTATATCAAGGCTCGGCTGACACATGGGAAGAAAACGCACTGCCTGTGGGCAAATATATCTCCCTACCTGTCACTTACAAATTGTTCTCTGTTCTACATTGTCTTCTTTAATATTTCCCCCGGTGAGTGAATAAAAGTCTCCATGTCGTGTTTGTAGATTAATGGTGACCCGAGATTTCCGTCAGGCGAAACTAACTTTTCTTCTTTTGTGTTGGAAGAAAAGTTGCCTTTGTTCGACATCTACTCAAGGGTCACTGGATAAACGGTGAAGCGTATAAAATGAGACAAAGTAAACACTATAGTGAACCCTCCAAGCTGAACGCAGTTGTTGTCATGCAAGTGAACCACTGAAAATGACTGAGGACCTGGAAAAGCCAAGGAAGCATTCTAATGTGTTACACAAGCAACAAATCCCCATTATCGAGAGCTGCTTTATTTAATTTCCATTCAGCGTGTTGAAATAACTTTCAAGCCAGTGAGAGTGGTGAAAGCCGAATCAGGAGGAAAAGCACAAGTTCAGCAAGCCTACTGCTGGCATTTCCATTCCTCTTATTGACGCGTCCACGCAATTAATTAAAGTCCAAGGAGCCTCTACAGGGATCAGCAGATTAATTTCTAACAAAGACAGATGTCCGACTTAAAGGGAAAATTGACCAATTGCAAGTATAAAGATGGGTTTTTCTATGCATAGCAATGAGCCGGCCCGCAACAAGGGCTCGATGGAGCGGAGCATGTGCAGAACTTGGGCTTTCTATAATGAAACGGAGAAAAATGGAGAACTGTTGCTGCAGCTAGTGCATCTGAATTGGAAATTCAGAATTTACCTGAATGTGCACTATATGCCATCCATTATAGATGCTGAGTACAACCCATGTGCACTGAAAATTGTGTATTTTTTTCAAATTATCTGCAGTGTTTTATTTGTGCTGACTACATCAGAACTTCTAGCAGCAGGCTTTAATGAGATCAGTAACTGGCATAAGGGTCGCTTTCAGTGTGGCTGCGACTGAAGGGATGTATTCAAGGAAATGGGTCAGTTGTGACTTGTAACATTCACTCTCAATCACTCTGAAGTTCATAAGACTGTTCCCTCTGTCTTTATTAAAGAAGACCTGGCGCCCACACTCCTAGATGTGTCATTCTATACATAGTTACTGTGTCACTCTTTTGTCTCTTACTGCCAGCTAAGAGACTCAAACACTGCACTGTAAATAGAATGGATAATAATCACAGCACATACGCATCACTTTTAAAGCTCACTTGAAAAAAACAAAACAATTTGCATACCCTGCCTGGTGTGTAAATAAAGAAAAATGTTCCACAGAAAAACATGACAATAAGACGGTAAAAATCCTTTAAAAGTGACTAAAATGATTTGCTAAATAAATATTAGCCATCCATTGCATTTCTCAAACAGTAAATGAGGAAAATCAGACAGTTCTGTAATTCCCACCTGTGATTAATCCAACAAAGACTGCGGAAAATATCACTGAGTGGGCCTGCGTAGCCACATATTTGAATAATAATGGATTTTAAGATGCCGATCCCAGCTTTTTTGATACGCTAGAAATGTCATTAATGTTTCATAAGCACTGGTGCTTATTATACAAATGCTTTATACAAAGTTCCGGCTAGAATGGGGTCTGTATTTAATCAGAGAGAATTAGTCAATAGGCGTTTTCCTATTTGCATCAGGCATGTTTTTACACTGCATTGAAACAATCTTTGAGATATTCGAGCAGCTGTTTTCATAAAAAGGCCCTTTCCGGTGGATTAGCGCATCCTTCGTTTCAGTGAGCGCAATGGGGGAAGCTTATCATTGGAGGAAAGTGTGCATTAGAATGGAATTATACCCTTCTCCACAGAAAATAGGACTTTATTGAAAGCAGCAGGGAATCCTCTGCGAAGCTAGTAGTGGTTAATGCTCTCAGCTTCAGCTTCTTAGAATGAAACACAAAGGCATGCTCTCTACAAGAGAGCTTCATCTGTGTGCATTAGCTGGAAATTCTTTTTGATTTTTCAAGCGTTCTTTCCTCGCAGCCGGATTCGGAAGTTCTCGCTCTGGTTTATGGCAGTTAAGAGGGAGAAACTGGGGGAGGTGTAGAGGTGCTGGCAGAGTTTTCATGCCTCCCAGCTTGTGCTCGGGATGCTTGACTGATGACCCAGGCAAACGTCAAAGCACTACCAGTGGCAAAATGCCCAACTCTTTCTCTGAATCATAATCTTTCATAAAGTTTTCTACAGTTCATATACGCTGCCACTGAGTTGGTGAGAGAATTCATATCATGCAAAATGTATTCCATTGCTTAACAGAGAAGAATGCGGAATAAAAAATGTAAAAAAGAAAAATGATTGTATTATTGAGTAGTATTAAAAAATAATGTGTATTATTATTTAATGCATTTGCCTTATTTAAAGAGAGAGTTCACCCAAAAATAAAAATTATTTTTTTATTCTTTAGAGACAAGACATAATCACCATTATGTTGTTACAAACAGTTTTATTTCTGGACGGACTATACCTTTACAGGAGCCCTGTTATGCCCCTTTTTACAATATGTAATATAAGTCTAAGGTGTCCCCAGATTGTGTCTGTGAAGTTTTAGCTCATAATACCCCACAGATCATTTGTTATATAATTTTGAAAATGCATATTTTGAGTGGAAGCAGAAACATGCTGTTTTCGTGCATGTCTCTGCTAAATGCAATGAGCTTCTGCTCCCACTCCCTTTTCCATAATAGGGCTGTGCCTTTACAGTTCGTACCTCAGATACTCTGCTAAAAAACACCTGTTTGGTTTTGATTATTATGTCTATAGTGCTGAAATCATAAACCATATTAGTTTAAACTTCTGATATACAGTTTTCTGAGCACACACATCCGAAGCACACGCACAGAAAGCGGCTGTCACACGGCATTCAAGTACTAAACTAAGTTCTCTTTCATGTCTTATTGTGCTTAAACCGTTAAATACACAGAGGTTTATGTTAAAAACACACGAGTTACAAAAACAGTTGGTTATGTCTGTGAAGGTAAACAGCTGGGAACGAAATTGCATGTTTATATTAGATCTGTGTGGCAGCAGCGTAATATACAGTAAATAAATCAATAAATCCACTGCTCTCTTGTCTCCTCTGAGTCTGTGGCTCGAAACAGTGTTATGTGCTCGTCAGTGCAGCCAAAGACAGAACAGTTAGCATGCTTTGCTCGAACATTCGCCATGGCGTTAGAACTGGTACAATGTTGTCGCTTGGGAAAAATGGCGGCGCCGTTGGTGGAAGCCTGCAGATTAAGGGGCGGTAATATTATATTAAGATCCCTTTTCTACATCACAGGGGGAGCAAAATCTGAGCAGCTCGGTTTTTTTTCACAAGCTTGCAACGAAAGGCTTACCAAAAAATTTACTGGGTTGTTCTTTTTCACGTTTTCTGGGTTGGTAGATGCACCGGGATCTGATTATAGCACTTAAACCCGGAAAGAGTAAAAATTTTCATGATATGCCACCTTTAACACATCAGGGTATACTATATTATTATCCTAATATGTTAAATAAACCAAATATGTACAGTGAAAAACTCCTTACTTTTTTATTTCAAATCAGTCTAGAGTAGCATTTGGTTACAGTTTAGTCTTACTTAATTAACCTGACAAATATCTCTGGACAGACAAAAAAATACAGTGGGTGACGATGAAATGTATTGCACAGGGAGCTCAGTAGGACATAATTTATTTCTAATAAGAGCGACAAACAAGTCACAGAATTTAGATCAGAATAGAAAACTGATGCAGATGAGTAGTATATAAAAGGAGTTTGTGTCTGTGCAGGCAGTGTCTCTGTGACATCTGCAACACGGGGGTATGATTAATTAATCAATATTGGATTGTTCAAATGAATTGATTAATCAGAAAATTGATATTTTTACTGATCTCCATTCATTAGAAAATCATAATCTTTCATAAAGTTTTCTACAGTTCATATACGCTGCCACTGAGTTGGTGAGAGAATTCATATCATGCAAAATGTATTCCATTGCTTAACAGAGAAGAATGCGGAATAAAAAATGTAAAAAAGAAAAATGATTGTATTATTGAGTAGTATTAAAAAATAATGTGTATTATTATTTAATGCATTTGCCTTATTTAAAGAGAGAGTTCACCCAAAAATAAAAATTATTTTTTTATTCTTTAGAGACAAGACATAATCACCATTATGTTGTTACAAACAGTTTTATTTCTGGACGGACTATACCTTTACAGGAGCCCTGTTATGCCCCTTTTTACA